CACTTACTCTTCAACCGTGTAAAGTTTTCTCCCACTTCCATATCTTTGATAGTGCTTTTTCTTGAAGATCACTAAAAAAAGATCTTGTTGCTAAATATAGTAGCCACTCCTTTTTTTCATCTTTGTCTTTCATCTTACTTGCTATCTAAGTAGCATTTTCTCTGCCGATCATATTTTTTGTTTGCTAACTCCATTTTATTCATAGTACAAATAGGCAGTTACAATTGGTTATCACTGATAATCAAAGCCACTGGTATAACAGTCTTCATGAAAATATATTGTACAATGGAGAATATACAGTAATAGTCTTTTCAAAAGCAGTGGTTGCAAACATCCATCTTTCTAAGAAATATACCTGTTATATAAATTCAGACAATAGAAAGAGTGTGAAATAATAATGCTTATTTTATGGAAAAATGAAAATAATTTTAATTATGACCTATATGATTTTAAGTAATTAGAGTCCTCTTAGATTGGATGTAGAACATAAAGACATTTTCCATAGCTTACAACCATCCTAGTCAAAAAGAACTGAAAAGTTAATAAGTAAGTAGAATTGCCATAACCAACTGTGTTCAAACCATTTTTGGTACAAGGAATTGAATTTACGGGCACTTGATCACGAGCTATCTGCAGCCCTATTTTTGTTTGTATTTTATTCAGAGATAGGGTCTCACTGAGTTGCTTAGTGTCTTGCTTTTTAAAAAATATATATTTTAGTTGTTGATAGACCTTTATTTTATTTATTTGTACACAGTGCTGAGAATTGAACCCGGTGTCTCACATGTGCCAGGCAAACACTCTGCCACTGAGCTACAGGCCCAGCCCAGTGCCTTGCTTTTGCTGAGGCTGGCTTTGAACTCACACTCCTCCTGCCTCAGCCTGCTAAGCCTCTGGGATTTTAGGCCTGCGCTGCCATGCCCAGCTTAAACAGAATTCTTTAGGTACAAATTGTAAATTGTTTTAACTCCAGCTAATTAAGGGAAATAAGCAAGAAGAGAACAGTATTCAGGTTTAAATGACTTTCATTGAGCTCTTGACTAAACTAATTTTTATGAGAAGTTCATTTTTTTTTT